CCGCCTAGAATCCCGACTAACAACGCTAGAATAAAAAACACTCAGCAACTGACGAACCAACTACATGACTACAAACACAAACTAAACTAAAACAAAACTAAAAAGACCTCAGCAGGGTAATACAGAAGTGTCGGATCCCAATAGGATAATAAGGTGACACCCGGGCTCACAGAGATCCAACGGCCCAAACCTAAAACACAGACAACACAGACAAAAGAACAAACAACAAACAAAAACGAAATTATAGACTAAATACAAGCGAAACCTCCCTCAGCGAACACATCCGAAAAGACGGAAGACGAAGCCAATTCCAAGGAGAGCTCCAAAGCCCTAGTACCACGCCCGCCACTGCAGAAGGTCTAGCAAGACGAATACTCAAGCCTCCGAACAAACCAACAAAATCAACCCGCACGCCGACCGTAAGAAATCACAGTCGCCCCTCAACCGGCTAACACCACTAGCCAATACGCACCTGACCCGCAATTGCCTAACACCACTAGCCAACTCCGGGACAGACGGCCTCCCACAAACTCAAGACCGAGAAAGTGGAGGAAGGGGACGAACGACCTCATAGCTCCGCCGTTCCGATCTTGCCCGAAGAGACGAACCTGCCCGAACCACCACCAAACCACCGAAACTACAAGGATTCAGTACGACCCAAAACCCCAGAAAAGCCAAAGAACCCACAAGCCGTCGGCCAAACCGAGATCTTGCAACCGTGACTACCTGTCAGCCCGAAAGAAAGAGGCATCCGGCCAAAGGTCGAACTCTACCTTCCCCACCCAACCTTCAAGGACAGGCTGCTGCCGCCCCCCAGCCACTCCAAATCGCTGGCGGTCAGAGAGCCGAAAGAAGCCATTGCCGACAACTAGGACTAGGAAGGGGAAAACCAGAGCAAAGACGGGGCAGCAACAGAGCCGCGTCTGGCCACTTTGCCGCACTCCTCCAGTCCTCTCCACCCAAGGAGTTCCGGTGAAAATTCGACACGAATCGAGGGAACCCGCCAAGAGTCGTCATCTTCACCCCTTGGCCAGAGAGAAAAGGAGGAAGAGCCGCGAGAAGCGGCGTAGACACGCGACGGTGGGCAGTCCACCGACGAGCCGGATGGACGCTTAGAGAGAGGACTAACCGGCGATTGAGGTTAGGTTATCGGGAGATTTGGGCGAGAGCGATTGTTTAGCCGCGACTTACCTCAAGATATAGACTTGACCTTTCTATACGAAATCGCCTGCCCATTGTATCACTGTCTGAACGCCCACACCCTACAAAATCCTCAAAACAAATACACAAAATAACCCAAAAAGTGATTTGGGGCAAAATAAAAAAGAAAAAAAAAAAAAACTCCACAGTCCACACACAGATGAGATGAGAATGTAAGTAGACGAAGGCCTGGTGGTCTCCCTCAAGTATGTCGTGCATGCATTTTGTCGCGCACCCATCTCAAATTCTCCCCCTTTTGCATGCACACCTGTTTCTTTCTCTCTCCCTCTACAGATAGATACACGTCCATAAATCTATAATTGTACAGAGACTCACGCATCGTCTTTATTTGATTTTCTATTTTATTCCAATTCAATTAATTTTAATTTGAATCTGGCATTAGTGGAATTAGCCACCGACCGCCGCCGTTGTTTTTTTTTTTCTTTCATTATCTTCTTTTTTTTTACCCTTTTTCTTATTTTTCTGAAAACATTCTAGTTTCGGCCTCAATTCAAGATTTGGAGTACTCTGTATCAGCAATTGGGCCCTCGCGTTTTCGGGTTTACGAGGATGTTCGCATGCGGACGTTGAATTTCACTGATTCGAACAGGGTGAGTGGGCGATTTATTAATCTTTTCCTCATATGAAATTACTCGAATGATTTCGAATTTTTGAGATGGAATAGTGTTGTCCTTATGTGAATTAAAGTTGTGTCTTTCTTGATTTTTGTTCGATTCCTTTGATCTGGGTCAACAGGGTTTAGTCGAAGGGTCTTAGGGTTTTGATTGATGGTTTCTGTATTTGGGTTTTTTGCTGTTTTAAATTTTTTTATTTTTTATTTTTTTAAATGGAGTGGTAATTACAAGAATTGATTTGCGAGAAATGGGGATGAAGAATTGCATGAATGAGGTGTGCCGAGCAACGACGTCGTCGGATTGGAAGAAAGGTTGGACCTTGAAATCAGGTGGATTAGCTTCACTGTGTTACAATTGCGGGTAAATTTCTTCAAACTTGAAAGGGTAATTTGGGTATGCGCAATTTGGATTCCTAATATATCTCAACAGTGGAGATGATTTTGGTTTTGTTATAATATGAATTGCTTTCTTTTGTATAGGTGGCTCAATTGTTTTCTATATCTAGAATAATCCTTTTCTTCCCCCAGTGCCCTGCACAGATTTATGCCTTTTATCCATATTGTTTGTTCCAAGATGTGGCGTTTTGGTGTATTTTGCCGAAAAGTTTGTGTTTTGAAACAGATTGAAGATGGGTTGATGCATTAGTTAGAGATAGACTACTTAAGATTTACATACATGCTTATCAACAAAATAACATGCTTTCAAATTATGATGTGAAAAGTGAGACAATGTTACTCGTTGTTGCTTCCATTCAATAGCTGATGTAAGAGCATTTGAGTTGGTTACCTCTTACCTGTTTTTGTGTATTATGTCCAGAAAGAAAATATATGATTATTTCATCAAATAACATTCATGCTATATTCTGTTTTATTTGGTTTTCTACTTTTAGCCAGAAGAATAGGTGTGCTTGTATGATTTTGAAGGGTTGCTATAAGTTATGATATATCCATCACTCCCGTTATCGTGAACTGATTAAAGTTCAAAAATTTTATTGGCATGAATGAAACTGAAGAGTGAACTGATTGGCATTGAGGCCATTTTCACTTCTTCTGGTTGGTGCCTTGAAGTTTGCATTGCTTTATTTTGCAAGATTTTTCAAATCGATTCAAAGTATCATTAGCACTTTGCATGACGACATGCCATTACACTTATGCGGCTTTTCATTAATCTAAAAATAAATGAGGACTTGATTCAAAATTAATTTTTAGAAATTATTTTTTGGGTCACATTATGTTAAAATGTCTTTTCTGCTCGTTTCGTGCTTTGAAATTGGCCAATGTGGATTCCAGATCTGCCTATGAGAATTCTATCTTCTGCGAAACATTCCACTCGGAGGACTCTGGTTGGCGGCCATGCAGAGTATGCGGGAAGGTGGGATTATTATTATTATTATTATTATTATTATTATTATTATTATTATTATTATTATTATTATTTAAACCCACATCTCATCTATCTGAACCTTTCAATTTTGCATGTTAGGTGGTTCAATGTGGATGCATTGCTTCAAGACACCTGCATGAGTACATGGATTTCGGTGGCGTTGCGTGCATAAGCTGTGCAAAGCGTTTGGAAATCCATGCCATGCAAACAATACATGTAGTTGGTCTTAGGAACTAGCAATTTTGGCCCTGTAGAACTTTTTTTGTGCAACCTAACCCCACAAGATATATTGAATTTTGTTCCAGGTCTTAACTTGTATTATGCTGAATTTTATTTCAGGTCTTCGTGTTCTGCTCCAGAAGAGATGAGCCTGAGAAATCAAGATCTCTCTAGAACTAACAAGGGTATGAAAAAACACACTTACACATGCATGGTGACATCATTTAAGTTTGTGTTTTCTCTTGGTGTGCTGATCATTAATTGAAAATCACATAATGATATAGACCATAATGACCATTGATTGGCTCGTGGGGGTTCTATGAAATCTTTTGATAATGCACTTTCATGTCTGTCCGAGCCAATTATCTGAGTGGTAAACGATAATTACTCATCAGGGTTTTGCAGGTTGTATTTTTGGATCATTCTGTCTTAGAAAATTAAGGTTATTACATAAAAAATGTCGGGAAATGCTCGTGTTTTTTTTTTTTCTGCATCAGATGCTTCCAGTTATTTATATAAAATGTTTGTCTTTAAATAGATATGATGACTATTTGTAGTGATGCTTAATAAACCGAACCTACTCATTGCTTTTATACTCTGTTACTAATAGAAACAGTTATAACTTACAAATCAAATAGATATTTTTCAACCAAAATGGATCAGCCGGGCATTTTCTGATCCAATCAGATCATTTTAGTTCCAAGAGTTTATCCAACATAACCTTTGTCAGGGTCTCATCCTGCTTATATCTGGTCTGTCATTGCTAAACAATTAAATTCTTGCCTAATTTAGATAGTTAGCTACAAAATTGTACCTGAGATGATATCAAAAATATCTTAGGTTGTATTTTGTAATTTTCAATAATTCTTTCCTAATTCAAATAGTTAGCTACAAAATTGTACCTGAGATGATGTCAAAAATATCTTAGGTGGTATTTTGTAATTTTCAATTCAATTCATTCCTAATTTCAGATAGTTAGCTACAATATTGTACCCGAGATGATGTCAAAAATTATCTTAGGTTGTGGTATGAAATAATACCTGAACCGATTAGACTCCTTAGGATCTCGTCCTTTTCAGCAGTTAGTCGTTCTGGATACCTGCAAAAAAGCCTAGACCGGAGAGCTAGAGTCTCCGACTTGGCCCTCCGTCGCTCAAGTTAGTTCTTTATCCGATGTTTATCTCAAAAACTCTTAGAAAAATATATCTTTGTTAAATCTTACCCCTTTTTCCAGACTTACTTTTATATCTCTGTGAGATGATGTCAAAAATTAGTCATATTGCGAATCAAATATTTACAATATTTTACATATAAAAGCATCGTGATGTTTAAAAAGGTTATATTTATCCTTTTTATTAGAAAAATAAAATAGTGGTATAAAATAAATTAATTAAGAATTAAGTAATGATAAATATTAATTTTTCACAGTGATATGTGATATCTCCCTTTAACATATAAGAAAAAGTTGTAGGGGTTCAAAACTTGATATGTATCTTTTTTATGCCCAAAATGCCCTCTCATGTGTTTGTTCTTTGTTTTTGGTTCAGAGGTTAGTATGGTCATTTATTGTCAATTTTTTTCATCCATTTTTCTCATTGTGAATTGTAAATGCTCCACTCCTGTTTACTAATTTTATTTTTTTTTTCGTTTTTTTTTAATGTTGAACAGTGGTTTTCCGCCTTTTTGTTGAATCAGGTCAAATCTACAGCCTTTTTTATCTTGGCTATAAGCAAATGTACACAAAATTACCAATATATCTTTTATCTTTCATTTTATTTTTTTTTTTCGTTTTATTTTTAATGTTGAACAGTGGTTTTCCGCCTTTTTGTTGAATCAGGTCAAATCTACAGCCTTTTTTATCTTGGCTATAAGCAAATGTACACAAAATTACCAATATATCTTTTATCTTTCATTGTTTTAGTTTGCTTTGTAAAGGCTGCTATGGTCTTTCACGCTTAGCAGTCATTTGACAGCCTTTTCTTTCTCCAATATGACACTCCAATCAATCTTGCACCTTCTTTTCCAACAGTAATACTAAGGAGCCAATAGTTGGCTCCGTTATGGAGCCAACAACCAATTGGACAACTCCATGTGGGGCTGTCTTACATTAAAGTATTGTGAGACAGCCCCACCTGGAGTTGTCTCATTGGTTGTTGGCTTTAGCATTATTGTCTTTTCCAAATCATAGTCAAACGATCTCACTCCTTCAATGAAAACGCCGCCCCTTTCTTCCTCCTCTGTGAAGTTCCATCGCCTAATTCATCTTCGTTCTTTCAGGAAACGGCGGTGGGAGGTGGCGTCCAGATTTCGAAGTTGGCGGCAGCTCACGGGTCGAGGAAGGCGGTGGCTTGGTTGTCCGTGGGTGACTAATGAGATGGTATTGTACTGTAAAACTTTCACATATTGTCTACATTATTTACATATGAAAGGGTGGAAAATTTGAGAACATGACACAATAACAAGACTCCTGCTGATTTGCTGAGATAGACGCGGGATCTACTCATCTTTGCCGTGTGCTCGAATCTCAAGAGCGATGAGAAGGTACCATTCGGATGTTATTTTATGAGTTTTAGTGATTTGGTAGTGTGTGTAGTCGACATTGTGACGAAACTATAATATTGGATTTGGAAAGAAATAGGCCTGCGGTGTACAATTGATGTCCGCATATTTTTTTTTTCTTTCGATTTTATTATCGTTTTTGTTAGGCCTATTGTTTTCTTATTGACAATTGTCTGAATTTTGATTATGCGGAGTTATTATGGAGTAGAGTGATCATCACAACAATTCTTTTTTGTGCTTTCTCATTTTAGTTGTGATACTGTGCATGTAGGTGATAAAGTTGGGAAAGCTTATCTGAGAATTTAAAGCATGTTCTTTATGAAGACAGTCAATCTCAGCCCGTGCCAGACACCTGTCTACAGTCACTACAACACTAACACAGGAGTTCTGCTAATTAGCTATCTTCTAAGTTGAACTAGGAGGTAACTTTAGGATCTCTTTAATGTGAAAAATGCATATTAGGTACTACTCTCAAAGTTATTCCTACTGTTTCTAGATAGTTTATCTTCATAATCAAACCTAGGGTACTAAATCAGCCTTTTCAAATAGACTAATCATGGAAATCATATTGAAGCACTATGGCACATTTACTGAATTCATAGAATGAAAATCCAGTACAAGCAACACATTGAGCGGTTGCACTGACGACACCATCAACCGAAGTGACAAAGGTACTATATCAACTTCTCTGTTAACGTCGAGTCGCCGTCTCTGTAGAGCTTGAACAAATCTTTGGCGGCCTAGATTTGTGTGATCCTTAAAGAGGTCGATTTCAATAAGGTTAGTTTCTTAAACTACCTTCTTCAATGTTTCAGGATTTTGTTTGGGGAGATTATGAGTGTCTTAGAATTCTCTCCTTGTTGCCTAGCAGGTTACATACATTTGAAACCTTTGGGGAAAAGTAAATGCTTTCTGCAAGAAAAGATGTATAGGTTCAGGTTTGGTGCCTGTTTGGACTGATAAAGACATTGATGCGAATGAACGTATGATGTTGATAAGAACCGAAAGAAGCATTTCGATCCAAAGTAGGAAGGCCTGAATGTCATTTTTATGGAAACATGTTGCATACAGTTCTAGACTAATGTACACTATCCATATATCCTCTTAATTTACTACCTTCCCATAAATTGTAGTAAAAAACTGGATATTCTAATCTTGATCCAACCAGGCCAAACTCAAGGGTACAAGAATGCATATATGTCCGACAGGAGGGGAGGTCCAAGTTACCAGAAGGGTCTTGCCCGGGTAAGAGATCTTGCTTCGGCCTTCCTATTGAGGTAAAACTGTAGTAATATTCAAGTAACTACAGTTGGTTATGGAAATCGACTTGGAAAACAATTTATAACTAAAAAGACTCTTAATTATCTTTAAAAAATTTTATTACCCCGTCCACATGTTACAAACTCCATATTCAGCATTTGTATTTATATCCAACTGGGTATTTCTCAGGTTTTTGAAAGACATTTTGTTCTTTTAAACTCGGCGAAACGGGAGGGATGTTTCTGAAAGATTCTTGTTGCTCAGGATTATGCAGAGGATGAAATTGTTGATTTAGTTTTGTGGCTTTGGATTCAGGATTAGATGTTTCTAATTTGTTGTTTCATTGAGAATTATATGGTTTTCTCTTATTGCACTCCAAATTTTATGTTTATTCTGTTGAAAATGATGAAGAAAAAGTAGAAATAATGATTCAATTAAGATTATTGTCTTCACAGCCGGACCCAAGTGTAAGGACAACAATGTGGTAAGTTGTGAATTTTTTTTTTAAGACTAGATTGATAAACCAAAAGATGACGAGTCTATGCACAATTTAGAAAAACGTTAAAAGATAAAGAATTTTAGAGAAGTTAAAAGATAAAGAGATTTGTGTAGTTTTCTTGGTCTCTTAATTTGGAGTGGGAAAGTAAAAGATATTCTCGGATTCTTAGTTCCCGTCAAAGCAAACTTTGCATAATATGGTTGGATCCTAAAGTTTTGTAGGCTCATGTTTTGGGGGAATACTATGTAGACCCTGGAAGTACCGAAATTCATATTCAGGTGTACAAGATTTGACTGGTTTGCATGTCACGTGGTTATTTAGTTTAATGTTTCTGTGTTGAAAAATATGCCATGTTTTCAGTTAAACAAATAGCTTTTAATGGAAGCTTCATATAGTATTATGGTTTATGTGCATCTGGTGTGAGTTGATGTCTTATTCTTAAATAAATTTGACAATATACGTCCACACAAAGTATACATGGGTATACTTGGCATATCATAACTGAGATTGTAATTTTACATGAGATTGTACTATTTCCGTCTGTTATTCTAGTTTCATCACTTACACACAAGAATGATGGCACAGTGTCATATAGAAGGTACAAGTACAGGTATTGTATAGAAGGTACAAGTACAGGTATTGTAAAGGAATATATACTATATATATATTATTTGCGTAT